TCGGCTGCGAATAAGCCGACTGCCAAGACGCAGATGGCCCTGGTGTAGATACACTCGAGGTGTCGAGACGGTGCAGCATTTGCTGCTGCTGCTGCTGCTGCTGCTGCTGCTGTTGCTGCTGCTGCTGCTGCTGCGTTGTGGGCGAGAGGGAGACGCCAAATGCTGCAGTTGATTGCGTTGTTGTAGAAGCCGGGTCTGTATAAGCAGCAGGAGTGCTCTGACCTGCTGCTGCTGCTGTTGCTGCTGCTGCTGCTGCTGCTGCTGCTGCTGTGGCCAGTGGTGCCTGCGGCAGCAGCAGCGGCTGCTGAGAGCTCCGCTGCTGCTGCTGCTGAGGGGGCGGAAAGTCCAGCGAGGCTGTCGATACACCGCGGCGGCAGGAAGTGCTTGGAGGGGAGATAGCTGCTGCTGTGGCTGCTGCTGCTGCTGCTGCTGCTGTTGCTGCTGTTGCTGCTGTTGCTGCTGTTGCTGCTGGTGATGCTGGTGGTGCTGGTGCAGTGCAGAAGGGCCAAGACTGTCGACGCGGCCTTGCAGCGACCGCTGCTGCTGCTGCTGCTGCTGCTGCTGCAGCTGCTGTTGCTGCTTCTCCGCTCGCTGGATCTATGCTGCTGCTTCTCCGCATCGGCTGATAAGAGAAAACTGCGCTGCGCGTTCTGAGGGGTGGCAACGCTTGCTGCTGCTGCTGCTGCTGCTGCTGCTGCTGCTGCAGGACAAGAGGGGTTGCAGCACTCATAAGTGGGGGGGATGCGAACGACGCCACTGGCGTAGCAGCTAGCTGCTGCTGCTGCTGCTGCTGCTGCAGTGTTCGTTGCGTCATTAGCAGCGGCTGCTGCTGCTCTGTGTACGGCTCTGGATTAGCTAGTGGGGGCGCGGACTGAGGAAGTGCAGCTGCTACACCCGAAGCAGCAGCAGCAGCAGCAGCAGCAGCAGCTGCTGCTGCTGCTGCTGCTGCTTCTGGAGCTGCGCGTGGAGTCGGCTGCAGCACGGTGGCTCCATATGGGGCCGATAGAATCGCCGGGCTCGTGTGCATGCGAGCAGGTCTTTGCTGCTGCTGCTGCTGCTGCTGCTGCTGCAGCAACTGCTGCTGCTCTCGTTGCAGCTGCAGCGGATCGGCGATTGTGCGCAGATGACGGAACTCTAGAGGAGCAGGCGGCATGAAAATGGTATGTGTATGCTGCTGCTGCTGCTGCGGTTGCTGCTGCTGCTGCTGCTGCTGCTGCTGAGGCAAGGTAGTGATATATGATGCGAAGGGCGCGGCGGTGAGGGTTTGCGGTGT